CAACCCTGGCTTTAAATCCCTGCTTGTCTCTGGGAGATGGCAATGGGGAACCCCTCCTTGAAAGATCTCAGGTGTCATTCGAAAACTGATTGGGGTCTCCGTATGTTGGATGTAACTTGACGGCAGAAAACCACAACATAGTCCGAAAGGTGGTGTTGCACCTCTTTGATTTTTCCATCAATGAATTTTTGAGAGCATAGAAAGCAAGGAAGCAAGCATCAGCAAAGGAGGTTACAAATAAAGGTCTACACTCTGCTTCAGAAACCATGTGATTGAACCACCTTTCTTGTAGAAAGATTCCAAAGAGGTGAGAAAGCCTGAACATTCATTCTTCTGATCGTCAGCACCTAATTGCCAATAATTACTGCCCAATTAGTTTGCTTGAGGAAGGAGAGGTAGGGTTCAAGAAAGGGAAGAGCATAAACAGAACTGCATTTTGTCCTCCTCAATCTCGCAATCCATAAATCTACATAAAAGATCACAAGGTGGAAGTCAGCTCTCCACCAGCCTCACTGTCGCCTTCGGACAGGTGGTTGAAGGGTGAGGAAGTTGAGGCCGAAATTCAGAGACGGGAGCATCAATGGGTGTTTTGTTCTTCCTAATCTATTTATACAGACCAGACTTCAAGGACATGGTTAGAATGGGTAGGTGGGGGCAACTCTTTAGAACCATACTAAAAGGGAAGGTGATGCTACACAAGTAAAAAATACTGCATGTTCTGAAAAGATCACACTTTGCTTGTACGTCTTGGCTTCCTTGAATGTGGCACGGTCCAAGGAATATGGTGAACCTGGGATACCTGGAAATGACAGCCGATACTCAAGATGCATCTGCTGATCTAAAAGCCTTTACAATGTACAAAGCTGCTGAGGTCTGTTCCGAAGCATTCAGAGTCCTCTCTTGTGAACCTGGCTTCTGTAATGTTCACCGACTTGAAGCAACTTCGTGATAGACCAACAATGAGCAGCAACCGAAATCAAAAGCTGTGCAGACTCTTTTTAGCAGGACCCCTCTGCTGAACAATTAGGAATCCAGCAGGGCATGCCATGTTTTCTGCTTGATCGCTTCCCAAAGAGTTAAGAACATAATAATGTTTACCAGACAGGTGGGAGGTGTTGTACAAGAGGGATTAGGACTTCAGCTGCCTCACAATCTAATAAGCTTTTATTTTTTTTAAAAAAACTCCTCACATTAATTAAAAGGCTGCAACACTCTTCACACCTACAGTGAGACAACAACGCAGCCACAACATCTAAGGCACATCCTGCGCTGTGTGGGCGAGATAGTGCTTCCAAAGCACCTGACTCTCCTCTACACCGTTTGCTTGCGGTAGGAACACAGCTAAGCCAGCAGGAAACGGTTCTGGACAGATTTCTTACCAATGAACAATAAGTCCTTGTGTATTTTGCGTTCTGTCCGCCATCCAAGTTTGCCGTCTGTTATCCTGACAGGCAACTTCTGGTTTCCTTTCCTCCTTTATGAGTCTTTGGACCCAGAGGTTGGGAGTTTGAATCCCCACTGCGCCTCCTTGACAAGGGGCTGGATTTGAAGATCTATAGTGTCCCTTCCAGCACTGCAGTTCGAAGAGGATTATTATATTAAGCTGGACCTGACATTAGACAGTCCTTAAAAGATAGGTGGTCTTCAAAAAGAGGTCTGTGCCATGATAACCTTGGAAACAAATCATTGTCTACTTGAAGTGCTACACAGTACCAGAGATGGTGGAAATTCAGCTGTCTCCCTCAAACATATGCATACAGCTCAGGACAGAACTGGGTCCCAGAACTGAATGGAGGATGATTGGAAACCTGTAGTCCTTGAAATCAATGAAGTTTTAAGTTCTCGATGGCCATGGCCTCCTTGTTAGGCGATCATCTTCTTTATTTGTGGGACGTAATGGTTCTAGACGTGTGCAGATCCACCTAACCTAGGGATCACCCCATAGCCAATAATGGGGTTTTTCACTTGAGCAAGGGTTTTGTGAATCCCTTATGCAACTAATGGACAACAGATGACCATGCCCAAAGTAGACTATTTATGACTCGTGTGATAAAAAGGAACGGGATACTGGGCTTAAAGCTCACTTGCTAGAGCATGCTTGATTGTCGTCAGTAGCTGGAACGCTCTAGCACAGAACTGTATGGATCTCATCAAACTAAAATCTCAAGGCTCTGTAGAATGGAATCTGATAAAATGGATCAAAAGGACAGGGCTGTGTGATGCACCTCCATACAGAGTTCACATTCATTTCATACAAATTCACAGAAGTTGCATGGAGAGCGGCTTTTGATGGAGGGCATCTCGTATGTTGACCAGGCACACCGGGTCACATCTCCCAGCCTTCTGAGCCAGAGAAGAACTTGCTGAAGGCAGCCAAAGGTAAGGGGCACCCTAAAATTCCTAAATGGACCCAGATGACAAACATCACCGCACCGCAATTTGAGAAACTAGAGCTTCTCGAGAAACTAAGCAACGTATTTGTTTGCAAGAAACTTGATACGCAGTTGAATTTCGAAGCTGAATCTTTCTTGGACGTGAGGAAACCAGATCTTGGGACTTTTGTGTGCGTGGACTGAAAGATGTTGAAACCCTTCGGCCCTGAAGTCTTCCCACTAGAAACGTGGGTGCTCGCGGATGATCTTGAATTGACTTCCATGTCAAGCAGAAAGCCAAACACTTGGCTGAGAGCAACCCGTTTTCCTGCATTCCTTCATGGGATGTTGGCAACGAGATGTTTGGAGGAGGATGGAGAGCTTAGCTAATCCATGGAGTAATTAAAGGCCGCCTCCCTCCGTCCTTCCCCGTCTTCTCTTCCTGTCATTTTAACTGGGATCAGCCACCCCTTATCTCCTTGACTCAATGTCAGCAATGTTTCCGAGACAATAACCGTGTCATTTCTTCTCCTGGGGCAGCCAAGGATCCAACCCTGTGGATGAAAGTGAACACCAAATTTGGGGAAGACCTTATCGGTGGATCCTGATCCTGGACTGCAGAGGTAGGGGGCTTACTTTCTTCATAGGATGATGGTTGTGAAGCCTTGGGGAGAGGAGGAGGAGAAGTTCCTTTGGTGGCGGTGGTAGGGGGAGATCATAAATCTCAGAATTTCTGGTCATGTTGGTCAGGGGATTATGGGATCTGCAGTCCACAGAAGGAACAATTTTAAGTTCTGGATGCGTAGCTCGCAATTCAAGATCCGCAGAGAAACAAGATTTAGAAGGGATAGCCACCAAAACTGAAAAGCAGGCGGTCTGAAGCTGTGAAAGGTTGTCCTCCTTGACACTCTGCCATCAGCATAACCATAGCTTGCAGATATTTATTAGCAGTTCTGTGGCCAAGCAGTTCGATTTCTCGTAAGGTTGGCTATGGCTGAGCAGTGCTACCAATCTAACCAGGGGATTCAAATTACAATAAAAAGAATTTCGAGCAGATGTTCTAAAGAATTTTGGAAGAGTTAAATACCGTTGGACAGAGGAAAAGGTTACCTGGGTGGGCTTTCTTCTATTGGAGGGTTTTAAGCAGAGGTTGGTCAACCATCTGTTCAAAGCGATTTAGCTGTGGCTCTCCCGCCATGTCAGGAGATCCTGACCAATGTCTACAGGAAACACATGTTGGCCCACAATAGATGGACAATACTGAACATGTGTTGGTTTCTCACTTCATACGAGGCCACTTTCTTTGCTCCGCTTGGGTAAGAACCTGTCTCAGACGCCATGTAGGAAGGACAGCAACGGAACAGTCAATGGGACATCCTTTAAATTGACCCGATGACCTGTAAGGTCTCTTGGATCGACAGCCAAAAGCTGAAAACAGGGATTGCTCCTGTGTTTTTATTTGACAAAATTTTCAGCATGGCAGGAAATGTCCGTTTTGTTTCACATGGCAATTAGTCTGATATTTTGGCTTTGACGTTTGTCAAGCTCAGGGCTTGGAAAAGCATATCCTCATGGAACGGTAACTCTAGCCTGGAAAGTAACTTTTCCAAGTTTCAAGGTGAACATCACAAGGGCATCAACGATGTGTATCTGTTGTTCAGGAGCTGGTGCTCTGAGATATTAACAGGAGCATTGTTTTATTCCCACCTTTTAAGTATTTTTAATGTACCTGTATCGGCAGATCTCAGGTTTCAACAAATAAATTCATTTAAATAGAGGGGTGGGAAAAACCCACCCACCCCCTCCCGGCCAGTTCTGCATCCACCCCACCCCAACCGCTCCTCTCCGTCCTCCCATTTAGACCATTTCAGTCAGACTGCTGTTAGGAGTGAGAAATATAGGGACTAACCATGGGGACTTCCACACAGTGGCCACACGTCAACGAAGAATCAGGGCAAACGAGCAAGCAGGACTCCCAAGATCTGGTGCAGCACCAAATCAAAACCAGTAATTAGGGCCATGTTTCCATCGCTGGGATGCTTAACATGCACACACATGGATGACGATATTGATAGTAGGTGGAAACATTTAACCCACGACAGGGGAGGTCATTCTGGTTAGACGTCCGAGTTCAAGGGAGGGGTGAGATTCAAAACAGGAACTTCTCGGCTCTTGTCTTTACATGATGCAGTTGTTCCAGTTTGGTCCCGTTTTAAAACTGCCATGGGTCCAACCCCAAGGAATTCTGGGATCTGTAGTTTGGGGAGGGGCTGGGGATTCTCTTGGGGAGAGCTAGGACCCCCTTCCACAAACTACAGCACAAAGTTCTAAGCATCATCCCACAACCCGCCCCCAGGTAAAATTCCACAGGACCTCATGAGATGGAACCATGATATTGAAAGTCGCATCAGAACGACAGAATGATGGAGCAGCAAGCGTGTCGCACCCAGAGCTTGGAAGAGTTACTTATTTGGACGACTGGTTCAAAAATCCCCCAAGCTAATTCTTTTCAAGTTGCCAGTGTTTAGCAAAGCAACGGGACGGGGAGCAAGGCGGTCTCCCTGACTCCCTGCTTGGCAGACGACTTGCTCACATTTCGCATCTGATCTTTGCAGAGAGACCAGGAAGATGGACCAGCGGAAAGAAACGGTCTCGATCCCTATGACCCCTTTTCAGCATCATGAGGAACCCAGCGTGCCAGCTTATGCACCATCCTATCAACCCCAGTCACACGCTCCAGAACCTTACAACCCAGTCAAATATTCCCCTGACCCATATCTGTCGGGACCTTCCGCTCCATCGGCCCCGTACACTCCACTGGACCCCTATGCTCCATCAGGTACGTTGGCGGCGCAGGTCTCCGAAAACTGGAACCCCTTCGAGGTGAATCAGAAGGACTGGAAACCACGAGGAGGCGTTGCAGCCTCCACTTGATCTCGATAATAAATAATGATTGATACAAACGGGGAAGAAAAATAATAGCATCCACGGTGATGTGATCGCTGGAGTATCGCAAGGTGCCTAAATGGGATGGGGTGGCGGCCACAGTGGCATGTTCAAATGCTTCTCGGGAGTGATAATAGTTCATTTACGCGTTCAGTACTCAAACACCGGAGAATATTGAGAACAGGTTCTTTCGCGCTGTGCCGCAGTCCTGCCCCAATTTCTGCCTCCAACAGAATTCTCACCCAACTCTATGGATAAAACACAGCCTCTAAGCCTGAGCCTTGCTTGAGATGTATCTCTTGGCTATGGGCTTGAAATGCTTGCAGATTTTTTTAAAAAGACCCCAAACAGCCAGAGCTTGAGACTCTATATTTTAATGCATTTATTGCATTAGTCATCATTACTTCTTAGCAGCAGCGGTTGCCATGATCATGGTTCTGATCACCCAAGTAGTTGGTTTTCCTGAGCTGTCATTAATGAGCCAGGAAGACACAGGAAAACAGTCTCTGGTTCCACCTAGTGGCCACTGATGACATTGTACCTTAGAAATATTTCAGAAAGAACCAAAGCTTGCCGCTAGGGTAAATAGCAGAAAACTTCAAAAATTCATCTGAGTGCCTCTAAAATGCTTTTAAATGCACTTCAGATGTAACCTTTGAAAAGTAATGAGATGTTATTCCTTGTCGCAAGTAAATGACATAGGTGTTAATCATTATCCTTAAAAATAAATTCACAATTGCTAATTGCAATATCAATACAAGTATAATTAGTTACAGACAATTATCATATGGTTAGCTACATGCTTTACTGATATGCTCAACTACAGATTGACCTACACTAATTCAAATAACACAGAAGCTGGAGAGCCTCTAAGTTAAGCCTAGGATCAGAAAACTTCTAACGGTGCACAATTATTTTATTGCTAAAATACCCAATACAGTTTAGTTACTGGGCCTACGTTTCAGGGCTTTTAAAGAGCAATGCATGTGTACAATTGTATGCCGAAATAACCATTCCAATACTTATACGTAGTCTGTCAATCACAGTAGGAACATGCTGTTTGATTCAATTTATATGTAGAAGAAACCTCACAAAGGAATAGGGAAGATGATGAAACACTCAACTCCGGGTCTTGAATCAAGGGGCCAAAATCTTTAATTTAGAAATCTGTTCTATATCCTTTTTTTCCCCAACAACTCATTGTGTATCTTCTCAAGAAATACAGCTGCACTGTATTTAAGAGATGCCTCTTCCATAGACAGCTTCCCCAATCCTGCTCATATAAGACTGAGTGACCTTTGAAGATACCACTAGAAAGGCCCAGTTTTGTGTCAGTCTCTCATGATATCCATTGGTAGTTGCGCATTTTCTTTCGAGCCCCATGTACTTAATTTTCTATGCATGCAGGCTGCAGGTAAGATGCATCCCTATCCCGGCTGGAGGTTTAAAGAGCATGGGTTACATGCCACAGAATGGACAACTTCAGCAGGATTAAGGCAAAGCACCCCTAAGAAAGGGCAGAGGCAGACGTGTAAGGTGTTCAACACAAAGGTTGCCAAGGTAGCTCAACTCAGCATCTTCTTCTCCTCGTTACAGGTGACTGTTGTGGAGATTGTCCGTCTCCCCCACCCTATTCCTGCCAAGATGTCCCTTGTGACCGAGTAGGACCAGGTACGTTTCTGAAACGACTCAGAGGTAGCTCTAAACAGTCTCTTCACAGGATGCTCAAAAGACAGTTCATGAAGAGCAGTCTGTCACTGGTCCAGGTAGCTCAGCGCCGGAGAGGCTGGGCATCTCCCATGGTCTTGGGCAGGGGACGGGACTTCTTGGTGGTGCTGAGCGCCTAAACTGGAGATATACCTGGTGGTCACATGGGTGGTTTTCCAAGGTATACAAGGAGGGCTGCCCCGGACACTTAGCCTAGCCGAACCACTGAAGAGTTGGGGAAGAGCTGTAGTTACCCCCTTGCTAAGAATGGGGAGCCATATTTCACCATGCATGTCTCCATCAGAGATGGGGAAGTTACTCTTTTTTTTCCCATTGAGAACTCCTAGGCTATCCCAGCTAGTATTGAGGTTGGCCATACTGTCCGGACCATTCTTTTGAGGTGTTGTTTCAACACCACACCTACCCAGCGTTCATAGACATCCCTGCTTCTTTTCATACTGTCCGGACCATTCTTTTGAGGTGTCGTTTCAACACCAAATCAAGTGTTGATATACATCCCTACTTCTTTATAGAACATCACCCAGCCCTTTCTGTACTTGCGCTGGCTGCGTGCTTTGCCTCTTGACGCAGAAAAATAGGGTGGTGGTGGGTGGCGTGGACACTCTCTGTCTCACATCTAGCTGGATGCGAGCCACGTCAAAGGCCTTTCCAAATCTGTGCTAAGGTATCAAGGCAGCCAAACGGACGAGGAATTCCTCCTATTACCTACTCCCAGCTGATGCCAATAAGAGACCTCTCCACTTCTATTTTTCAGTCTGCATGAGCAACAACCCTCCCGTCGTGGTTGCCGGCATCTTCTGCAGTAAACCAGCATCAACCATCTGCCCTTGCTGTCGCCAGATCATCACTACAGATATTGTCTTCCGCGTAGGACCGCTGACGTATGCGGCATGCACCGCCATCTGCGTGATGGGGTGAGCGCTCCTTCTGGATATTGTTCATTTCTCATCATCCTGTCGATTTATCTCGCACGGTGCTTTGCAAAGAACAGCTTGGGTGGGTCCTCTACCCCAAGGCAATGAGTTACGATCTCACTGACACAGAGTGGGCGGCGGGGGGGGGGAGAAGACAAGAAGTGACATTAATAGGGTTGTACTGTATTTGTAATTGTCACATTGTGGGGGAACTGCCCAGGAATCAACTTTTTTCATCGTAGATGGTGTATTCATTTTTAGTGAATACATTTCAAGGCAACCGTTGTGCCACTCAACGATGGGGGGGGGGGGAGCCTTTTTAGATGAAAACTCAATTGTTCCTCCTCTGCTTGCTTCCAGGGGCTGCCTGGGGTGTTTTCTTATTCCCTTCATGACCAAGTGCTGCAAGGATGTCGATCATTACTGCCCGTGCTGCCGGTACCACATCTACCGCTACAAGAGGATATAGGCATCTGCGGGAAAGCTATTCAAACCAATTCCGAGGATCAGATGGAGGAGGGCAAGGGAATTCCACCCCCCCTCCATAAACTGCACCAAAGGAAACCTCGAAGCCCTGATCTTCTGGCTTCCAGCTGCGACGTCTCAGTTCAAGCCCAGGAGAAGGAACCACAAAGGGGCCGTTTGGGGAGGGCTGGGTGAGCAGCGTCCACCAGGAGCTTCTCGGCTGTCCATTCTGGCAAGGTTTCTCTTTCTTGCCTTGAATCCTTCTCTCTTCCAAAGATCTTCCACTTCTTGGCAACTTTGGTCCTGCCAGGACTCCAAATTGCTCACGCCAACCATGTTGTGTCAGCTACCCCATTTTTCACGACAAAACCCCTACCCGCTCACCCTTCTTTCTCTTTTTAACCTGTTTGTGTATTGGTAAACTGGTAAAATTGTCTTCGGAAGCTAGACATGCTATGATTATTTATATACCTGTATTCTGATGGGAGACTGAAACATTCAGACCATGCTAAGTCATGCAGAAGAAATAAGGCTCAGTCGTTTAGAAGTTCCATTTCGGCTTGTTTTCCTTTGGCATTTCTAGTCTCGGAAACAGCCTGTCCTGAGACCCTACTCCCAGCAGCAATTCTCCAGAGACCAATATTTGGCCAGGGATTCAGAAAGGGCTCCCCCCCCCTTTCCTCCCCCAGTTCTGCCAGAAACTCCAGCAGTTGAACTGGAGCGGTCTTGCCTGCAAGCAGCTGCTGTTATCATTGAATTTAAATGGCGTCTTACCAGTGTGACTGGTTGCATGACCGAGCCTGCTTTGCTGAATCTTGCACAGAAGAGTGCGCTGTGCAGGGACATCCACGCACATAGTTGTGAGAGCATGGAATTTGACTTCGGAGAACACCTGTTGTGTCCGAGATAAAAGTGATCAGAACGTACAGTACTCTAATCCATCACACACGCCCCGTTCCTCTCAGCCCCAAAGGCTTGGGTGGTCAAAGTCAAGCCTGTAACACTGGGTGGAACAGGCAGTTTGTTGTTATGGAATTGACTCCCACACACATCAGGATAACAGGAAATTAACTGCAATGTAGAATGTAAACGGGTTGCTTTAAATTCTGCATGATACTGCTGTGCTGGTTGTTTGTTTTCAATTGCAGGTGTGGAGGGGAGATGTTGATAAATAGCGCTAAAAGCCTTATGAATACAGTGGAAGTGAAAAACAGATTTAAGGAACTAGATTTGGTGGACAGCGTGCCTGAAGAACTATGGATGGAGGCTCGTACCATTGTACAGGAGAGGCAGCAACAAAAACCATCCCAAAGAAAAGGAAGTGCAAGAAGGCAAAGTGGCTCCCCAACGGGGCCTTACAAATAGCAGAGAAGGGAAACAAAATACAAGGGAGACAGGGAAAGTTACAGAAAACTGAATGCAGAAGACATCAAGAAGAGGCGGCAAGAATACACAGAGGAATTATACCAGAAAGATCTAGATGTCACCTGTGCAGCTAAATCTGCAAATTCAAGCATTTCTTGATATTGAAAAATTCAAGCAGCTTCTGCCCAGAGTCACAGTAAAATATGCAAGGTCCCATCCCAGGCATGAGAAATTATATTAACACGATGACCCCCCCCAACAGAGAAACTTGGATGCTACCTGAAACACTGATTACCCGCCTATTTATAAGCTTCTTTCACAAACAAAGACAGGAAACAGAGAATGAGAGAATTTAATGAGTGCTCAAGTATTCCAATCCCACATCCTGCTGTTGCAGGAAACCCACCTCTACAGCAAACCTGATTGCTGGATCATCATCATCATCATCGTACTGCAGAACCGCCCTAGTCAAGGAGGCCCCAGTGGGGGAATCAAACTCCCAACCTCTGGCTCTGCAGCTGGAGACCTCAACCCCTGAGCAATCCAGCCTCAACTGAGTTGTTGAGGATACCCAACCTTGGATTTAAAAGGTCATGCCCCGTTTGAACCCATATACCCACCTGTGAAGCAATTTATAGCATAAGGAAACCACCACCACCCTTTTCCAACTCTCCACCCCCCAGCAAAAATACATGCCATGATTCCACCTTCCATATGAAAGATGTTTATGGACCAATCTTTCCTTTTTACTTCTGGCTATACCATTGGACTGCCTTTTCCGAATGTTTGCCAAAGTATTTTGTTTTATTCTGCAAAGATCCTTTCATACTAATATTGTCAGGTAACAGACAGCTAGGTGCCACAAGATCTACAGACTTTAGAGATTCAGGCATGGCTAACAGATGCCACTCATCCTTTTCCCTAAACTAAAGCTAGATTTGAAAACAGAAAAAAAAACCCCGACCAAATGAAAATCAAACGTCCGCATCTGGAAAACGGTCCTCGGAAAGAAGGTGGCAGTCTTCTTCAATACCCAGGCCATCACTCACCGGAATAAAATTTTATAGAAAATTTTTATTCAACATACAACATTTTCATTTCCAGCAAAAAAAAGAAAAAAGAAAAAAAAGGCAATATACAGGAAGAATAATTGCACAGGGAGCTACAGAAATAAAATACCGG